TTACTCACCTTCCTGTTTAGTCACCGTCTCGTTTAGTCACCCTCTTGTTTAGTCACCTTCCCGTTTACTCTCTATCTTGTACTTCCGGCTAGTCCGCCGATTTACTCTCCTCTTTGTAACTCTTGCTCAGATCTAATAAAACGTCTTTGTTCGCCCTCATCTCTCTTTATATTGTTCAAACCATTTTCACCTCAAACATGCACCTTGACTTGTGTTCCAAGCTAAGAGACATCACTTGCCGCATCAAGGACCATCTCCGTGACCTCCGTTCTGCTTTCAGACGGAGGAGACACGCTGGAGGAGATTCCACCATCCGCCGCCACGTTAACTCCTTTATCCGCTCCAGGAAAGTGGCTCACAAGGATCTAGCTAAGTTACTCTTGTTGCTTAAACAAGCAGATCACTCCTACTCAGGGCCAACTCATCATTTGATCACTCTGCTTCGACAAGTCTGTTCCCAAACATGTCTTTCCTTTAGGACAGTCTTGTTGTCATTATCCACATCAGTAACAAAGCCAAGACCTTCTAAGTGGGCTTTAGTTACCAAAATGGTGATCACGAACGTTACCAATACAAGTAATCGAGTTGAGACCAGACACAGAAACGAGTACCAGTTGATGGATGAAGAGCTACAAAGATTCTGCTTAGCCAAAGAGATAAAGAAGGAACGAATCAAGGCTTTGATCATTACCTTAGATAACGTAGATACTGTAGTTGAAGATCTGGAGGAGACGCTTGAAAGCTTGTACAGGTGTATGATTCAGGCTAGAGTCTCTCTTTTGAACATAGTCTCTTTGCATATATGATTTAATTTAATATCTTTATTACACTGGATTCCATGAGTATATGTATACAACTTTTACTCATATTTTTAGACAAAACATGTTACATCAAACTCAAATGAAAAAAAGAACTTAGCAACAACGACATTTCAACATATCTAAGCAAGTGTAGGATCTTGATCTATCTTCAAGTTCAAAGGCAGTGGGCAATGAGTCTAGAGTATCATTGCCGCAACAGGCGTTGTATAGATTCCTCTTGATTCCTCTGCTAAAAGGATGCACTCGTTCCGGAATATTCCTAACAAAACACATATGCTATGTAATCATAACCAAACTAAAAAAGGTTCTCTCTAAAGTAGCTTTTATACTATTACTATGTGAGTTGATAGAAGATGGGTTGAATTGAATACCTCATGTATGGAATACGTTTTCGTCTCACAAGTTCATAAGTGCTTTGATTAGTTAGAATGAGGTAGCTGCAGGAAATTGAAACGTAAGCAATTAGAAGAAAGGTATGAGATTGCGGAAAGTATCAAGAAGATGTGAGTACACACACCTGTGAAAAAGCAAAAGAAGCAGGACAAATATCAAGGAGATCACCAATATGATAAGCAAGAGTATGATAATTGCATTCTTCCACCTGTTTCACATCAAATTCATGTTTCAACGTATTAGGATCTGCTTAGAACTTGGCCAAAAACGAGAGAAGGAGATGGAAAAAAAACATTATACCAAGGCTTGGCTACGTTACTCAAGTAGTCAATGTATATGATGAGTGTCCACATGCATAGAGCACTCTCTTCACAGATGTACCACCTAATATCATGAAAACAAAATCAAGATTAAATTACAGTGCAGCTTTGGTGAGGATTGGGAAAATGTAACATAGTGCAGCTTCAGCTTTTGCAAGGCATACCAGAATTTAGAATGGTTTTTCTGGCCTACACATGTTCCCAACCAAACACAGTGATGATCAAACTGAAGAACACATCGATCACAATCATGACAATGTTTGGCTCGCGGAGGCTGCAAAACATTTAGGAAGGAGAAAATTCAAAACAAGTTGAGCAAGTGTATTGGCCAAATGAAACATAACGAGAGTGAAATGTTTACCTGCTCCACGTGACAGTAACCGCATGTCAAATGTCTGGAGGTTATAATAAGAAACAATTCAGTATCAGTAACAACAAACATCTTCCTACTAATAATCTCAAGAGATGAATTTTACAAGATTCATACAGTAGGATGCCATGATGAAAGTTGATATGTACCTTAAGGATGTTCCTGGAGGGTACAAATCCAAAACCATCTTCCCCCAGGAAGTAGGAGTCCTTCTACCACTAGAGGCTGATTCTCCTTCCACAGTAACAACTAAGCTCCCATTTTGTCTAGAAGCATGTTGTTGCCTTCGCTTAAATAACGACATAACGAAAAAGTATAAACACAAGAATGTGACAGACACAAGTTTAAGTAGAAGTCAATCCCATTGTTCCATAAAAATTCCAATAAAGAGTTTGTTAAACAAGGATAATAACAACTCTTACAATGATGTTCTTGTAGGTGCGTTTCTGTAAATTGCATTTGTCTCATCAACATCCCTCATTGCATCAATAACATACCTAAAAAGACAAGAAAGAATGAAGCTTTGGTACCACAGGGACTGTTTCGAAACACATAAATGCATATATATATATATATATATAGTTTAGTTTATACCCAGGTGAAGAGCCAGAAGTGACGAAATACTGAAGAAGTGTGACAGAGAACAAGAACAAGTAAGAGGACATGTACCTGTTCACAGATAATCAAACAAAGTTGAGATCTTTAGAAGATAAAGAGGTGACTGAGTTAGCCAAAGAGCAGTTACCATGGATGTAGCTTAGTTTTCTCAATGAATTCAGCATCGCAAACGAGTAGAAAGCCGATGAAGACGAAGTGTAAAGCTACAAGTGCCAATTTTAAAAACAGAGAAGATCTTCGAACTGCCAAAAAGAAAAAAAAACAATTTGACTTTTAGTGAATCAGAATCTTTAAAGAAGCGATTCAAATAAGGAGACGTTATTAATAAATTAGGGGATTACCAGGATCAGAGAGGCAAGGAAAGTTGAGGAGAAGACGGTCCCAGGGTCGTAAAACAGGGCAGCCAACGCTCATGGTTGACTCTCTATCTCTCTCTCAAGTAAACATTGGAGAAGAGACAGAGAGAGAGAGAACAGGGGGAGAATCGAGCACAAAGACAAAACTAAGATGTCCAAGATGCAAATCTTGTCGTACTTGTCCAGAATCGGACAGAGACAGAGAGAGTAGAGAGAGACAGATTAGTTGGCCATTTTCGTTCTCTTGAGCCGCAAACAAGACAAAAATGGATAATGAAAACAGATTTGTTTTTGAGAGCTTGGGGATGATCTTACTTTACTTGGGCCTCTTTTGCAAAATTAGGCCCATTTAAAAAAATGGAAAATGGTTTTTGGGGATATCCGTTCTTGTCGGATGTCTGGAGGACTGGAACGGATATAATATGATTTACCTTTTCGATTTTGGGAGGATGATCAGACTTGAAAATCCATAGATAGCCAACTTATCAGAACGATATGAGGGTGTGTTCCAATTATGTTCTGATGGATGGTTAAGTTACAGCTAGAACGTGACTGGACTGAAAACAAATATATCGAGAAGAATATATTCTCATTGATTAGTGATAATAAAATGTTATAATTTAGTGTCTTTACTTTCGTTGGAATATATCAAAAAGTGTAATTATGATCAAGTGTGATGTTTATATATTGTGGTTTTGAATCTGGAAAGGTTATACAGACTTCAGAATAATTCAAAAGTTGATTTCAATGGATCCAAATAAATCTTTAGTTGAGTCTACATCATGTGATAAAATATGAAAGAGAAAGTGTATAATTTCTAGAAGTTATCTCTCTCTTCCTATATTGTTCAAGAGGGTTAAAAGAAAATTTGAACTCTTCCTTTAGTTAATTGGCATTTTTTTGTGAACTTGGCTTTATTGGCATTTATTATGTAAATTTTGAACTCAAATTTCCTTTTTATTTTATTTAGAGCCTATGATAATATTGAACTCTTTTTATGCATATCATTTCCATGTCTACTCGATACTCAAAAGTAAGAAAAAAAGGAACAATGGATTTTCTTAAGTGTTTTAATTTTAATTATAAATATAGAGGCATTAGCGTTATATTAGGCTTTCTGTTAAGTACTCAATACTAAATATAATTAAAAATGGAAAATAAATTTTTTAAACACCATTGAAATTATGAGATTGAAAAGTCATGTGCCGTTTGTGAGTTATTTTTATATTTACTTATTTATATAAAAAGTATTTTAATTTTAAACTAATGTTCTATTTTTGTATTTGAAAAATTGATTTTTTTATATATTGATAAATTGAAACATAACCATGTTAATGGCGAAACTTTACTGGAAAACATAAACAAGCTTCAAAGTAATTGGAAAAAAAAAGTATATAATGATGTTCTAACGTTCAACTCCGGTCCAAGTCAAAATCTCAAAGAAGCTTCTCTTCCTTTATATTGTTGGCAGGAATCAACTATTTAACTATACATAAAAAGAAGACCAAACACTTTTCTTTGTCTTCAAAAGTAATAAACAAAAGGCAAAACATAATCAAGTAGAAACTAGAAAGAGAAGAGCATGCGAGCACGTTCGTTCGTTAAGATCAGCTAATACAAATGGAGAGCACATCATCTCGTTCCCTTAAAGCCACCGTCCTCACTTTTATTTACTGTTCACGTTTCATTCTCCACGTTTCTGTTTAAAGAAACCAAAACCAAAGCAGAAGATGCAAGAGCTTTCCTAATATGTCTAACTCCCCAAAATTGTTTGGTGTCGTAAGGAAGAAACTTCTCAAAGAGAGCATTTAGATCTCTGAAGAGTATTGTGAAGGTTCAGGCGGTGGCGAGACGAGTGTTTGTGAGACAAGCTCGAAAGTGTTACATTGTATGCATGCTCTTGCTCGCTTGCAGGTTAGGGTTCGTGCTCGTTCAGATTCTCCCTATTAACTTCATTACCTAATCCTAAAGTTTCCCTCTGTTACTTCTACCTCTCTAGTGATTCTGACTTATATACATAACAGCATTGTCCTTTTAAACAAACTCACCGTTTTGTGATATTTGTATATGTAACTAGTTAACCCTAACACCATGTGATTGGTACTGATAAACAAGATAGTCTAGCTGACATTCTCTCTTCTTTCCTCCATGAAAATTAGTACACAATATACATCCTAAAAGGATCCATAGATTATATGAAGCAAAGCGAATCACAAGCAGACAAAGAGATTATTACTTGGGACGGAAGCTAGTGGTACCTTGGATGGGAAGAAAGGGGTAAAGCTTACATGGAGAGACACCAAATTTTATGGTAAATGACTTGAATCTAAAGAATCTGAAAGTTATACGCAAGATCAGCTATCTTAACAGAGTTTACATCAGCTATCTAAAAAATATACACTCAAACACATAAGCAAAACTCAGTTAATATAAGGTAGATCTACAAGAAACAGAAAAAAAGAGACGAGAGAGCACTGAGATATTGGCGCGGCTCAATCAGATAACTAAGAGAATGTATATTGTGGTTCAAGAAGATCTGAATGAACCAGGCCAATATCAAAGGGGACTCTTTCGTACTGATTCAGAGGAAGCTTTGTAAATGAAAAAAGAAAAGAAAGAAAGAAAGATAGACAGTGTAAGGGGAAGTGTGAGGAGAAAGTGAGAATGTCTGTGGTGGGAGTTATAAAGGAGAGTGAATTAAATTATGGTATGATGAGAGAAGGCAATGGAAGGTATGGATCATTAATACCACATCTACTACCAATGAACAAAAGCTAGCTCACCCCTCTTTAAACTCTCTCCTCTCTCTCTCTCCTTATTTCAACATGTATCCATCCATCCAAACTAAACTGGCTATGCAATGAGAACCTATACTCCTTTCTCTGCTCCTCTGTCTTTCCTTCTTGAGTTTCATAACAGTTTTTTTTTTATAAAAAAAAATAGATAACCAAAAACATTGGAGGAAGAAGTTAAAACAACATCAAAGATGCTCTATAATAAATAAGAGGGAATCTCGCAGAAGGGAGATGGGGACACTGGCTGCCTGCAACCATTAATGTTCTTACTGCTTCGTTTCTTACTAGGCCCCCTCTCTTTCTCTCTATCTCTCTCCTTCCATTGAAGATTCTCAAGTGAAACCTTTTAATGTCACATTGTAACATCAGAGATTTGTAACTAAAATTAAACCAGATTCTTTTATTTTTGTCTGGTTAGTATATGGGTGGGAAGCGAAGAACTATTGCACACCCATATGTATTTACTTCTCTCTAGCTACATTAACCTTTATCCGGTCCACCACCTTTGCCATAAATTCATGTACAACACACACATTATCTCTCTCTCTACCCAAATATGTTTCTTATCACTTTCAAATTTTATCAAATCTCTAACTGTACCAGCTGGTCCAGCTCTTGCTCTACATGTTATCAACATGCTTCTTTAGTATCAATGTCTCATTAAATTAACCAAACAACTAAGTGGGTAAATAACATATAAAGAAAATGCTAATAATACTCACGTTGAGTTTCAAGCGTTCTCTCTAGATGCCTGCAGAATATGATCTACAGTGTTGAGGAATATGTTTCTGCAAATTATTCTTAAATTCCTATAAGCTTCAACTTGGAACCAAAACAAGTAGAACAGGGTCTGCCCCCTTTGTTCCTTTACTCTGGATGACAGAAAAAAAAGAATGAATCAGACAAAAAACATGCAACATGTATGGCGCCTTATACTATTTTCTCAACAGCAGCAGAAACTTCCTGTATGCAGCAAGGTTTACATTAAAGATGGCGTGGATTGCATTAAAAAATATTAGTTATCAAATAAACTTGTTTAATAGCTAAGAAAAAGAGAGAAACAGAACGCAAAAATGGACCTGCAACGGGGACACAGGGATTCTTAATTTCTGATGAATGCTCTCTAGTCATAAACATTACATTACACACTTGAAGGTAAATCATTATAGCAACCACTTCTCTGTATACAGAAAATTATATAATACAAAATGTATGACACAAGAAAGGCCTACTACATTCATTCACCATCAACAACAATTACATCTTTCATTACACAAAAGTTTGCTGAATAAATAAAAATTAATGATTCCTGGAATTGAGTTCCAAACGTCAGTAGTGTGGCTTTCACGTTACAATTATACATTCTTATACCAACAAAGAGTGAACATTTTTATACGTAGCTACAAAAGATGAGAATCTAAAAAAAGAGGGATGAAGTAACTTCAGAGTTTCTTAGGGAAAGTCATACCACCACCTCGGATAGAAAGAGAGGGTCCTTTGGCAGAGCTCATCACATTGGTATCAAGGAAGATGACAACAACAGTGATGTCATCGTGGAAATGCCTCCTCACGCCTCTCTCTATCTTCTTCAGATCATTATATCTCATTTCCCTCTTCTTTGCTGCAGCTTGCAGTGCCATCTTCACAAGTCTACGTGCTATCCCCTGCAAAAGGACAGAATCAGTATTTGGTTTCGTTTATAGGTTTTAAACTGAAACTGGAAAAAGAAATGAGTGTAGCGCACGTTTCGTGGGTTGTTCTGAACGATGTCAACAGCTTCTTGGTTGCTAAGCTGTTCCCATAGTCCATCAGAAGCAAATATCAGAAACTGATCATATGGTTGGAGCACATGCTCTGTTATCGACGGTTCCCCACTCAAGATTGGCCTTTTCATCGGCTCCCGGAGTCTATACTTTGTGTACAGTGGCTCCTTGTTGAACTCAGCTTTCTTAAGATACACGTCGCCTATGGATCTAGATATCTGCAAATGAAAGAAAAAAACATCTGAGTTTATCTTGCATTGTAAGGAACAAACATATCTAGACAATCAACATAATTAGGCGTTGGATCCACTGTCTAGATGCATGCAACCATGAAGACAGAACAAGGGTTCAACATTTCAACTGTTCTATCCATGGTTCTTAAAACATCCGACTCAAATCGGTTTAAACTGTCCTAAATCGTTTTAAATCAATTTAAATTAGTCTAATCTGTTACATTAAGCAATAATGTTACTAAAAATCCACAAATTTGTCAAATTTTGACAATTCAGATTGAGAAATGTACCTGAATAAGCCCCTTAACACGCCACACATTATGCTTCAACACAACAATATGCGAGTCATCCGGATGCAAAGAATGCATCTCCTGTCTAACAGACTCTATACTCACATTATGCTCCGCTGAGAGCTGAAGCGCAATAACCTCACCTGTAGCCCTCACAGCCCTTCCAAGAACAGCACGAGAATCTCCAACGTTAGCAATGTAGAGCTTCCCTCCACATATAACACCCACAAGGCAGCAAGACCCAACAGCTGCAATCTGTGGCTTCGTCGGCCACTGCTTTGTCACAACCCCTAGAAACCCTTCTTCTGTCGCTTCATAAGCCTTTCTTATTACATCCATCGACATAGTGGCTTCCTCTGCTGCAAATCCTACAAGATTCAACAATATTTTTAGTTTTTAATATGATCGGTCCAATAGGCGGCGCCTAGGCGAAACTATTTTAAGAAAATAGGTCCTAACCAATAGGATTTTCTTAAAATCCGATTTATACGACTCAAATCAGTTATATCATTCTAATTTGGGTTAAACCTTTCTAATAATGATAGTACACATTCACAAATTTATGTAATTTCTTTTGTTTTGTATATCTAATTTTGATAATTTATCAAAATAACATTATAATTAAACCTAAAAACTAAAATATCTTATATAAATGTAAGATATATATAAAATAAATCAATAATTCCTTAACTCCTAGTAGCTACTCTATATAGTGGTATCCTGGCGCTTTCTTGAACATTGAGGAATACAAAAATGATTCAATTGCTCACTCTTTAAATGCTGAAAGAGATGATCATTAACAAAGCGTGAGGTCTCAGGCCCTCCATGACCATCATATACTCCAACAAAAGTCCCATACGGACCAGAATCAAGTGTGCTCAAAGGGCCAGACTCAACTTGGCTCTGATCCTCAAGGAGATTGTTGGCTTGAACAACCGCCATTGAGAATTCGCCGAGTAGGTGTTGACCAGAGTCTTTGTACCAGAGTAACCCATCTTGTCTCCCAGTTGAATCAGATGACTTGCCCGAAGAGGAGGAAGAAGGCCAGAGACAAGCACTCAGAAGTTTCATTAACGTTGCTAACATCCCTCATGTCATCAAAAGAAACCCTCTTTTCTCTTTCTTTCTTCCTCCACAAGTAGAAAGGAATCTGCAATTTCAAAAAGGGTTATAACCAAATTGAATAAAAATCAAAACTTTATCGGATTAGGGAAGTGGGTACCAAGTAAAGTTGCAGACTTTGGAGTCAACAGATGATGCCCATCAAAATTGAGATCGAAATCAATCTTAATTTAGACAAAAGTATTTAGGGTTTTGTAGTAACGAGGAGAAACAGATGAGAAGAATTAAGACAAGACAAGAGAGATCTGAAAGAGAGAGAGAGAGAGTGATGGAACAGAATCAGATCGAGAGAGATGAAGTAAGAACTTGGTGTGTCGACTAGAGAGAGCCTCTCTACGAGAGGAAAGGGGAAAGGAGAAAAGGGCTCCACTGCTTGTAACCAGACAATCCAATCCTGATCACTGGATCAGATTTTCTAAACCTAACCCTTCTTTTTCTTCATATTGACCTTTTATGTCCTTTTTCTCCTTTGCAAAACGGTCCTCTATCTTTATAATATTTTTAAGTTATGGAACACTGACTAATTCCTTCGATAATAAGGGTGACACAGAACAAGACAGAAGATATATGGATTTTGATCATCACTTTTATATAATTTGTATTTGTTCTCAGCAGCAAAATCTAACATTTTTTATCAGATGTTTGATGCATCACGTAAAAACAAATTTTCTTTAAAAAAATTAATGTAAAACACTACTGTTCTTATTTGAGCAAACACTAAGGTTTTATTAAAAATATCATTTTAAAATATTAGTAAATAATTAATTAATTTAATGAAAAGTTATATAAATTTAATTATATCAGTCATACTATTTATATATATACATAATTTTCATATACATTTATATCATACTAGAATAGATACTTGTTTTAAAAAGAGAGAAATTTTACATTTTGAATACTTTATTATCATTCAGATTTAATTCGTAGAATTATAAATATTTCTATTTTCAGATTCAACTGAAACAGATAAAAAAATGAAACAAATTGAATATATATTTTGTCTATCTCTACTTATTAATCTCAAATACTTCTTCTATATACAAAAAAAAATTGATGTCTAACGTTGTTCACAAATATTAAAAGAATACTAGATTTCGACTCGCACAACCGTGCGGGTATTTTAATAGGAAAACATTTGAAATTATATAATAAAATTTATCAATAAATAAGTATAATTTGATTCTTTATGCTATCCAATTTCATAATCATTTTTATGTGACTTATAATATTATTAATATAAAATTTATAAATTTTTATTTTTGTAATAATTTTTTAAAATATTATTATTAAGATTACTAATTTGTATATTTTGTTTTATTTTTAAATTTGAAATCTATGTAAAAATTAATTAAGTTGGACCTACATAATACATAAACAAAATTTTGGGATATTGTTAAAAGTATTTTACATAATTTTAATTTTTTGTTTATAAATTAAAAATGAATTAAAATCTTAATTATATTTTATGATAATTATATTTTATGATAATTATATTTTATGATAATTAAAATTTTAATTAAATAATTTTTGAAACTATATCTTGAAAAAGATTCTAAAAGATTTTTAAAAGATTTTGTTAGAATTTTCTTAAAACTATTTATTTGTATTTCAAACAAAAATTAAAGATATGAAAAGATATTATAATGTTATGTAAAATTTTTATAAAACTCTAAAGATGGTCCAAACTAAAATATCACACATGAAGTGAGTCATGACTTCTCTTTTAATATAATAGACTAGTTTTGGACCCGCACAACCGTGCGGGTTTTATTTTCGTTGTTATATACATATATAAATTTTTATATCATTAGTGATGTTAATCATATATTTAAATGGTTATATATAGAACTATTACAAACACAATAATTTTATACTTTGCAAATTAATATCATTTGTTTAAATAGTTTCTTGTTATATATTTATCTTATTGGATTTGCATTTAATTATTAATATTAATATTAATATATGCATTAAAAACATAATTTGCAAAATATTTTATATTTACTTTGTACTAAACTATAATCTGAATTTCAAAGTTACATTACCATTTAGCAAACTTTTTATGTTTATTTAGATAATATCTTATTGTATATATAAAAGTGTAATAAATGCTAATTAATTTTATACATGTATTATCTAGTTACTAACATTAACCCGTTCGGCCAACATATTATATATTTTAAATTAATATTTTCTATTTATTAAAATAAAACTAATTAATTTATCTATTTAAATATAATTGTATATCATTTACTTTAATATAATAATTGTATTGAATATAATAGATTATAATTATAAAATAGAATTTTCTTTTTCATTTTATAAGCGATAATTGATAGATATTGATGTAAAATTATATTTTATTAATAATTCGAAATTAGTTAAATATTTATATATTTTTTTAAAAGTTAAGATCTTGTTAAAATCATTTCAACAGATTTTTTTTCAAAAAATTAGTGTATATCTCATATATTAAAATAAAAAGATATCTAAAGATACTATGATTAAAGTAGTTACATCAAATGTAAATCATATTTTTTTTTTATAATACTATCAAAGTGTTATATTTATTAAAATAAAAATATTGTGTGGGTTAAACTCTAATATATAGTTTTTTATTTAGGATTTAGGAATATATAATGTTGTCTAGATAAATTTTAATATCTTAAACAAAAACATTTGTATTTCGAATAAAAGATAAATATATGGGATAAAATTATGGAAATACAATTTAAAAAGATGTCAAAAAGATCTTGTTGGATTTATTTCATTTGTATTTCAAATAGAAAAATAAAGATATTTAAAGATATTATCATTAAATTATGTAACATTTGATAATCTTCATAATCTTCTTAAGAAATAGTCCATTTTAAAAAAAATCACACATGAATCTAGGTTGTGACTTCTATTTTAATATATAAGATTTACTTTTCTCTATTACCATTTTGTTTTACTTTTAGTTAGTCTAAAGTTTTATCTTATTTTCAATAAAATTTAAGTTATTTAACCACTTATAATTTTACAATTCGATTTATAAGTCACTTTTAAATCAAAATGCATTAATCCAAAGTAGAATATCAATCTTTTGCATACAAAACAAAACAAAAACTAAAAACTAAAACATTGGTTCGTTTGTATATATAGGAGTAGGTAATAACTTAAAACACTTCATTGGAGAAGAGAAGTTCCATGAAGTAAAAGGAAAGAGAAGCGTGTTGTTGTGTTATTCGAAGATGATTGAATGGTTAAAAAAAGAGGTGGAATATCTGTGAGTGATTGAGGAGGAGAGACACGTGATTAAGTGACATCATTTAACGTTAGCTGTCTCATTAAGGACATACGTGTGCACATCAACTTCCACCTCCATCTCCACCTGCACCTGACCAGCCTGCACTTCTTTCCCGTTTCCGGTTTCCTCTTCACTTCTCCCATGTGCTTTCCTTTTCCTCTCTTCTTCTCTTCATATATCATTTAAAAAAATAAATAACAATGGGCCTTAGAGAGGCATGATGGGCCGTATTGAGAAAAGAAGCTCTATCCAAGTAATTATTATAGGAATAAGCAAAAAATGAGGGGGAGTGGTCAAGAAGATCAACCCTACTTTCACTCTTTACCAAGGCATAGAGGAATCACAGTAACTTTACACATGTAAATTGGTCAAATTTTCTTTTAGTGTTTTCTCTGAGAATAACCAAACTTGGCTTCACTCATCACTAAAAATTTAACGAGTTACATGGTATTTTTTTTTCTGTCTCGTGTATATATAGATTCACACTAATTAATTGCTTTTAAGAGTCGAGTGTAACAAAAGATCAATTTTACATAAATACAAGCTGTTCTTTGGATCGGGTTTAAAAACTATAGAAAATGCAACATCATTCGGAGACGACGACGTTCGTGGAGAAACCTCTTTGCCCTAAGCCACGCCGTGTGTGTTCTTCTCTTCCTGATTTCCTCAAGCCTCTCTCATGTTCCCTACACTCTTCCAACTGGTAATATATTATGTTCTAGATTGTTTTTTTTTATGTTCTAGATTGTTTGTATATTATATGTTTGGTTTATTGTGTTTACAAAAAGAAATGAAAAATCAGAAAATGTTATTGAAATTGTACTTTTTTCATCATGTATAGGTAAAAATAAACGTAGAACTTGTCTTTGAAACAATCGAAGGAACGCTATATATAATTCTCTCCTGTTTTTTTTAATATGTATATTTCTTGAACTTTCATCATGTGTTCCTGCATGTTTTTGTGCCTCTATCAGCCAACAAAGTTCGGAGGGAAGAAGCAGCGTTATTAACATAGTCGATAAGGTCATACTTGCTTTCTTCTTCATCATAGATTATTTTTTTTCTTCCAAAAAATGTAATTTTTCAGTTAGGAATTCAGTATAAATTTTAATTCGTTAACAAGTGAGCGGTTTTTTTTCTCTCTTTCGTGTCAACAGTGACTGATTTTTTTGGTAAACGATTGTAATAAAACACTTCATTCGAAAAAAGATCTTATAATGAAACATGAAAATGTCATAATTAACGACACTGATATTAAAACAAGAAGAGTATTCCAAACTTGCATGCATGCATGGTTATTGAGTGTTAATTAATGAAATAATATATAATTTTGTGTAGGTGCAGCCGATAGAAGGTGGAACAATAGAGTGGTACGCAGGGTCTCCACCTAAGAGAACCGGGAATCCTCTTATCCACGACCTTCATTTCGTTCACTGCCTTGACCTTCTCCCTAATTTTTCAAGCACCAAGGCTTGATCTTCACATCTTATTTGACGATATATGCATACATAGCCGTACAAACAAACAAAAATTGAAAAAAAAAGCTCCCTACTTCCACATAAATGCCATATCAATCGGCGTACAAAACATTCACCTCGCAGCTAATTAAAAAAATGTTCACACAGATATGCATCTATATCAATCAACAAGTTTGGAGTTTATTCTTTGTAGAAATGTATTTGGATATTCTTGATCACCAAGAGTATACATTGAGGCCAGTACTACTAATACAGCTTACTAAATCAGTACACACTGAATGGAGAGACTTATATAGAAATATAACTAGATATATGTTTTGGGACTTGGATATTTTTTTTTAATAATCTATAACACTTTGTCTTTTTCTTTTTTTTTTAGTTTGGTATGACATGTTATGTAATTGCCTTGTGCTCTATAATTTTATATAAGACTTGCGTAAGAATTCCATAGTTTTTGCTTTAGTTTATCTCTTTCTGTACCCCAAGAGATTCTCCCTAACTATGTCCTTTTGGACTTTCATTTATTGAAGTATTCAGTGTTAAAAAAAAAAGAATTCCATAGTTTTAAATACTTCTGTTGTGTTTCCTTAATTTTCTTAAGTTATTGGGGGATAAAGCGAGTATTTCAGTAATTCGTATTATAATTACTTTGATAAAAAAAAATTACTTGGATAGCTTGTTTTCTCAAAAGACAAATAAGTGACCATGGTCATGTTTATGGACTCAGTAAAAATAAAGAAAGTGTGATCATTGAGTTTATGATTCAAGCTACCAATTTTAGAACAAAGCTTTTGTAGACCCAAATTTTAAACACAGTTTTTATCACAACTACATTTTAATAAGGTATATATGATTGATATCCTAATTCGACGTGAGTGAGGTACTACTATATGTACAAAAGGTCACCTTAATTTTTTTTTGCTAAACTTTTTTTCTAAAATAATGTATATTGTTCTATAACAGCATGACTTACGTGAAATTTTGATAAGAATATAACAGTAGGATCAGAGCCGGTCCTAGTTTATGTGTAGATAAAAAAGGTGGCCACTTTTCAAAAAGGAGACTCCATTCATTATTTCTGTTGAACCAAGGTATGGATATTGAAAGGAAGGTCTCTTAGATGAAATCCCTTTCTCAAAGCCTGTCTTTTTTATACATCACATGACGTCCTTTCTTTTACCTGTGTAGTTTAGAGGTCATGCTTGCAATCTTACCAGTGTAGTCAACTCTTCCTTCTCCTACCTTGTGGCCTTCGTATGATTCACAAGAGGCATTCATTGTTTTTATGGTTTGACATTTTAATGTCCAAACAGGAATTCATTTTGATGAGCAGAGACATTATTCATTATTGGTTTGAGAATTGTGATCTCATCTTATCTGCCTGTTACAAGATGTATGTTTTTGTTATATACATGTTTTGGATATTTAGGTGCCTGCGCAAAGCAGGAGGGAGGAGATACATTGTCTCAGACATGTTTTGGAGGCGTCCAGTAAAAGAGATTGATACCAAAAGGGTATTTTGTTTCATTGCTTGGTTCGATGATGGGCCTGATGGCTTTGTGAGAAAGCAAGTGGTCAGACAAGCTGAAGAAAAGTTGAACTTTGCTTTGGCGGGTTGAGCCAGGCCCGTGCAGTAGTGCAACACATGGGCGACTCGCGAAAACCCAGATAGCAAGCTATCTTAATGAGCTTTCACCCTTAAAAAATAGAGTTAATATCGTGTGGGCCGATGACCCACATATCAGATATTAAACTGATAAGAACAGATACTACACTTGATCTTAGCCAAAAGGCCGAGAAAGGTATGAATTGAAAGTAAGGCTCGACTTCCGTTTTATATTGCTAAGCTTATGCTCAACTTTGTTTAGTTTACCGATGTGGGACTTGACAAACAGACTCTTTTGTTCTCTTCAAACGAACAATGCTATAACTTCATGGATCTTGGAACTTTGCAAATCTAGAAGAAGAACATTTAAGGTGGTGTTAACTTAAGATCCTAACCACCAGCTACTTGGTTCCAGGTGGCTCTGGACACAATCAGTCAGTGGCGGAACCAGCCACTAAATATATGGGGGTCAACAAAATTAATCATTGGTTTAAAGTAAATTTTCAGCAATGTCACTGGGGTCATTGCACTAATTTTACAACATTTCACTAGCTTTTTAATCAAAAATACATGCAAAAAAAATTTGTAATTAAAATTCACTGGGGTCAAGTGACCCCCTCACCCAACCCTGGCTCCGCCACTGCAATCAGTGATCTGTTTGATTGTCTTGCAACACAAGAACAGATACCTTGTTTGTGATGCAGTTGTGGGCAGAGACAGACAGGTCTGTTCTAGAGAAGTCATTCCTTGAACGGTGTTCTCGGGCTTGGTATGAAGGACTACTCTGCTCCTAGCCTTCTGTCAAAATCAAAGATCGCTGCAAACTACTTCTTAATCTGTTTCGGACGTGTCATTGGTGTTGGGGTGGAGAATCAGTTTCGGAGGCGAAGGCTATACAGACCAGGAGGAGACTCCATTCATTATTTTCGTTGAACCAAGGAACAAAGTCAACTTACAATCTACACCGCTTCTGTTTCCATCTACTAGACTAAGCCATATATATTCTATTGATGTCTTGACCAAACTCATCAGTATATATATATATATATATATGTAACTTTTTACAATTTTTAGATGAAATCCCTTCCTCAAAGCCTGCCTTTGTTATACATCACATGACGTCATTTCTTTTACTTTGTCGACGACACACACCAGCCGGTCTTCAGATTCCGTCTGATTTCTGTTACAATTTTAGGTCATGCTTGCAGTTTCACCAGGGAAGTTAAAATATGATCAGAGAAGAATATGAAGTCTGAGGACTATTTAAACTAGCTTTACAGTACTTGTACGATGGTATAATCTGAACCACATCTGAATTCTGTTGATCGTCCTCTTTACATGCAGTCCAAATGCTATAAACATTACTTTCCCCCTACTAGAGATGACTTTAGTCTTTAGGAGGAGGATCAGTGATGAGAATCAAGAATCCCTTTTTTTAACATGGTATTTAGTTCTTATTTCTTGTGGTATTCTGTTACATTTCCGTATTGAATACGAGTAACAGGAAGGTGGTATGATGTACTGTTTGGTATTCTGGAAAGCGAAAGGAGTAATGTGTCATTGGACGTAAGTATATCAAAAGAGATCATACAAATTATTTGTATATGCATAATACTGAGAGTTTGTGTGGATTACAGAGAATTGATGTCTGGCTACCGCATTGTATTTGACCGGGAGACAGGAGAGGGTGGTCTAGTGTTGGAAGCATTGCTAATGAAGTCTTAATGCCAGTTTTTGAGGATTAAAGCATATCATACACGACCACTCTTCCACCAGAGACTGAAGAACCACTTTGTTCTCCTCCTCTGTCTTTTTCTGCTACACCGCCCCCAGTAGATATTCGTGACTCCACCAAAAGTCCTGGCACAGGCAGTGCAGCCAATCTCATCCTCTTGCTTCTCAACTCTTCCTTCTGCTACCTCTTATGGCCTTCTTCTGATTCACAAAAGGCATTCATTGTTTTTTTGGTTTGACAATTTAGTGTTTAAACAAACACTGCGTTTGGTGAGCAAGTGGTCAGACAAGTTAAAGAAGATTATCTGCCTGTTACTTTGCATCCTTGCTTGGTTCAGTTATGGCCTGATGTCTTCGTGAGACATCAAGTGGTCAGACAAGTTAAAGAAGAGTTGTACTTTGCTTTGGTGGGTTGAGCCAGGCCCGTGCAATAGTGCAACGCATGGGCAACTCATGAAAGTCCAGATAGCAAGCTATCTTAATGGACTTCCTCCCTTAAAAAATTGAGTTAATATCGTGTGACCCGATGGGACACATATCAGATATTAAACTGATAAGAACAGATACTACACTTGATCTTAGCCAAAAGGCCGAGAAAGGTATGATTTGTTAGTAAGGCTCGGCTTCTTTTATATAGTGCTAAGCTTATGACTAATTTTGTTTAGCTAAGCGATGTGGGACTTGAGAAATACTCTTTTTTTTTCTTCAAACAAACAATACTATAACTTCACGAATCTTGAAACTTTGCAAATCTAGAAGACGAAAATTTGAGGTGGCGTAATTGAATCACAGCAATATATGTCATGTGCAGGATCTTATCTTAAAGCTTCTCTTCTGCAGTGTGCGTAATATTAGAATCCTAACCAAAGAGGTTGCTCTGGTTCTAGAACGGCAAACACGAGGTTTTGATCATATTCATGAGGATCATATTCATAGAAAAAAACAGGCAAAGCTATGACCAAGGTAATAACCAGTATCGTTTTCCTCATTGTAATATGAATTCGAGAGATATGCGTGCACATGCTGCAGCAACAGGCTTTAAAGGGTTACGAGATCTCACATGCTGATGGGGCCACCGTATTTTCCTGCCAGTAACACTCAGTACATAAGCTGAGACATCTTTGATATGTGCTGATGATAGTTGGGGTCCTGCTTTATTTTTGGGTTTAGGGAAGTAAGTTCTTCTCTGTACTTTTTTGAAAAGGCATTTGCTAAGTAATCATCTCTCTGAGTCTTGCATTATCAATTCCCAAATACTACTTATTAAAAAACTTAAAAAAGTTTTTTTTATATAAAACTAGGAAACCACCCCGCGCGTAAACGCGCGGGAAAGAGGATGTTTAACTTTTAAACTTTATATTTTAGAACAATTTATATTAGTTAATCAATCATTTTTAATCATGTAAAAGACTTAGATAAAATTTGAATAATAATGTTAGATACAAAATTCTGTGCATAAGTGTTAGTTATAAATGTGTTAATTTTACTTATATGTATTTTGTACAGATTGTTAAGTTACATAATTGTCTTCAATCATTTTTTCCTTTTTCGTTTTGGCCATTTGGCTATTTCCCTAGGTTGTGTTGTTGTATTTGGATTGTTAACTTCATTTTATTTTATAGTTGTTGATAACTTTGCAAGTCTTCTTTTCTTGGTTG